TCAGCATAGGGATCCTGGGCGCAAAGAATACACTCTGCTCCTGGCTTTTGATGGAATATAAGCAACTTATTTGCATAGTCCCACTCTGTCATTTTGTGGGAGTCACAAGACCATGCATGGCTAGAAAGGCCATATTAAGTAATACATTGCACTGCAGAAATGTTCTACTTGATTTTTTCCCTTAAAAATTTTTTTTTATTATGCTTTAGGTGAAAGTTTACAGCGCAAATTAGTTTTTCTTTCAAAAATTTATACACAAATTGTTTTGTGACATTGGTTACAATCCTTGCAATGTGTTAGCACTTTCCCCCTTTCCACCTCAGGTTCCCCATATCCATTCATCCAGTTTTCCTGTCCTTTCTTGCCTTTTCATCTTTGCTTTTGGGCAGGTGTTGCCCATTTGTTCTTGTGGACTTGATTGATCTAAGAAGCACATTCCTCACGTATGTTATTGTTTGTTTCATAGGCCTGTCTAATCGTTGGCTGAAAGGTAAACTTCAGGAGTAGTTTCAGTTTTGAGTTAGAAGGGTGTCTGGGGTCTACTTGATTTTTATGCTGCCCGTTCAACTGCCCTATATATTCCCAGTCCTTCTCAAACTTGGAACATTTAAAATACTTTGCAATTAAGGAAGTTAGCTGAGAGCTTAGCTAAGGTGTCAGGTGTCTGAGTAGTCAATTAAGACAACCAATCAAAGTTAAAATAACAGTCAATCCTGCAATCACTTACTGTGATAGAATAAGCTGAATAAGTGGAAGGCATTCCAGATTCAAAGTCATCATTTTGTACCATTAGTCAAATGAAAGGCCACACTTTGTTTCACTGTCTTGGATCAGCAATGTAAAATCAAACTGAATTTACTACCAGATTAATCTGCTTAAACTGCAGAATTTGTAATACTGCATTAAACATCACAACTGGCAATGCAAAAAAAAATCTAAATGCTCTTTAGGGCTCACAAAGATTTTGGCTTTCTGAGTTTATGTAGGGTCTATATGATTTCACATAGACCCTACATAAGCTCAGTTTCAGCTGAGCTTTCAGACTAAGACTAGCGGTCTGCTTCTGAAAAAATTAGCCAGTGAAAACCTCATGAATAGCAGCAGAACATTAGTTTGATATAGTGCCGGAAGATGAGCTCTTCAGGTTGGAAGGCACTCAAAAGATGACTGGGGAAGAGCTGCTGCCTCAAAGTAGAGTTGACTTTAATGATGTGGATGGAGTAAAGTTTTCGGGACCTTCATTTGCTGATGTGGCATGACTCAAAATGAGAACAAACAGCTGCAAACATCCATTACTAATCAGAACGTGGAATGTACGAAGTATGAATCTAGGAAAAATGGAAGTCATCAAAAATGAAATGGAATGCATAAACATAAATTGACTGGTATGAGCCATTTTGAATCAATCATATGGTCTACTATGCCGGGAATGAGAAATTGAAGAGGAATGGTGTCACATTCATTGCCAGAAAGAACATTTCAAGATCTATCCTAAGATACAATATTTTCAGTGATAGGATAATATCCATATGTCTACAAGGAAGACCAGTTAATGCGACTATTATTCAAATTTACGCACCAACCACTAAGGCTAAAGCTGAAGAAATTGAAGATTTTTACCAACTTCTGCAGTCTGAAATTGATTGAACATACAATCAGGATGCATTGATAATTACTGGTGATTAAAATGGAAAAGTTGGAAACCATCAAGAAGGAACAGTAGTTGCAAAATATCACCCTGGTGATAGACATGATGCCAGAGATCACATGCTAGAATTTTGCAAGACCAACGACTTCATTGCAAATACCTTTTTCCACCAACATAAATGGTGACTCGACACGTGGACCTTGCTGGATTGAATACACAGGAATCAGATCGACTACATCTGTGGAAAGAGACAATGGAAAAGCTCAATATCATCAGTCAGAACAAGGCCAGGGGCCGATTGCAGAACAGATCATCAATTGCTCATATGCAAGTTCAAGTTGAAGCTGAAGGAAATTAGAACAAGTCCATAAGAACCAAAGTACAACCTTGAGTAAATGTCACCTGAATTTAGAGACCATCTCAAGAATAGATTTGACCTATTGAACATTAATGACCAAAGACCAGACAAGTTGTAGAATGACATCAAGGACATCATACATGAAGAAAGCAAAAGGTCATTAAAAAGACAGGAAAGAAAGAAAAGACAAAAATGGATGTCAGAAGAGACTCTAAAACTTGCTCTTGAATGTAGAGTACCTAAAACGAAAGGAAGAGCTACACAGAAGATTTCAAAGGTGGCTCGAGATGACAAAGTAAAGTATTATAATGAAATGTGCAAAGACCTGGAGTTAGAAAACCAGAAGGGAAGAACATGCTTGGCATTTCTAAAGCTGAAAGAACTGAAGAAAAAATTCAAGCCTCGAATTGCAATTTTGAAAGGTTCTACAGGGAAAATATTAAACGATGCAGGAAGCATCAAAAGAAGATGGAAGGAATACACAGAATCACTGTACCAAAGATAATTGACATTCAGCCATTTCAGGAGAAAGCATATTATCAAGAACTGATGGTACCGAAGGACGAAGTCCAAGCTGCACTGAAGGCAGTGGCGAAAAACATGGCTCCAGGAATTGACAGAATAACAATTGAGATGTTTCAACAAACGGATGCAGTGCTGGAAAGGCTCACTTGTCTCTAGCAAGAAATTTGAAGGAGAGCTGCCTGGCCAACCGACTGGAAGAGATCCATATTTGTGCCCATTCCACAGAAACGTGATCCAACAGAATGCAGAAATTATCTAACAATATCATTAATGTCACATGCAAGTAAAGTTTTACTAAAGATCCATTCAAAAAGAGTTACAGCAGTGCATCAACAGGGGACTGCCAGAAATTCAAGCTGGTTTCAGAAGAGGATGTGGAATGAGGGATATCATTGCCGATATCAGATGGATCTTGGCTAAAATCAGAGAATATCAGAAGGATATTTACCTGTGTTTTATTGGCTATGCAAAAGCGTTTGACTGTGTGGATCATAACAAATTATAGATAACATTTCAAAGAATGAGAATTCCAGAACATTTAATTGTGCTTATGAGGAGCCTGTATGTAGACTAAGAGGCAGTTGTTCGAACAGAACAAGGGTACACTGTGTGGTTTAAAGTCAGGAAAAGTGTGTGTCAGGGTTGTATCCTTTCACCATACTTATTCAATCTGTATGCCGAGCAAATAATAGCAGAAGCTGGACTGCATGAAGAAGAATGGGGCATCAGGATTGGAGGAGGACTCATTAACAACCTGCAATATGCAGATGACCGACACAACCTTGCTTGCTGAAAGTGAAGACGAAGACTGTAGTCTTCAGTATAGATTATGCCTCAACATTAAAAAAAAATCCTCTTAACTGGACCAATAAGGAACGTCATGATAAACAGAGAAAATATTGAAGTTGTTAAGGATTTCATTTTACTTGGATCCACGATCAACGCCCATGGAAGCAACAGTCAAGAAATCAAACGATGCATTGCATTGGGAAAATCTGCTGCAAAACATCTCTTTAAAGTGTTAAAAAGCAAAGACGTCACTTTAAGGATTAAAGTGTGCCTGACCCAAGCCATGGTGTTTTCAGTCACCTCATATGCATGCAAACGCTGGACAGTGAATAAGGAAGACTGATGAAGAATTGATGCCTTTGAATTATGGTGTTGGCGAAGAGTATAGAATATGCCATGGACTGCCGGAAGAACTAACAAATCTGTCTTCGAAGAAGTACAGCCAGAATACTCCTTAGAAGCGAGGATGGTGAGACTTCCTCTGACATACTTTAGGGATCACTACCTGGAGAAGGATATCATGCTTGGTAAAGTAGAGGATCAGTGAAAAAGAGGAAGACCCTTAAGATGGATTAACACAGTGGCTGTAACGGTGTGCTTAAGCATAACAACGATCGTAAGGATGGAGCTGGACCTGCCAGTGTTTCGTTGTGTTGTACACAGGATCCCTATGAGTCAGAACTGACTCGACAGTGCCTGACGAAGACAAAATGTGAAATCATACGTTCATTTATTGGACATTAGAAAATGTTTTTCCTGGAAACTATCCCATACGTTCTTCACTTCCTAAAACACTTTTGTTCGTACCTGATCACTGCAGCTCAGCTTTAGAGGAAAAGTGATTTTCTAATTAATTTAGAGCTTTTCTTAGCCTAACACCAGCAGTATATTTTTCCTTAAGTGGACTTAAAAAAGAAGAATTTACCTATTTTTTGTTTTGAATAGATTTACACTTTGACTTTTGACGGCAATCAACTCCACCTTTGATTAGATGACATGAGGGATACAGATAACTGGGAATGAAGAAATGGTCCTTTTAGACTCTAATCTGAAAATATGTAACTTTGAGCCTTGGTGGCGTAGCGGTTAAGAGTTTGGCTGCTAACCAAAATTTTGGTCGGCAGTTCGAATCCACCAGCCCCTCCTTGGAAACCCTATGGGACAGTTTTACTCTGTCCTATAGAGTCGCTATGGTCGGAAAGGACTCGAAGGCAATGAATGGGTTTGGTTTTTCCATCTGGGATCTTAGAAAATAGTATTCCTACAACACCCTCAAAAGCCTCCACACTTTCTGCAAGGATCTTTTCTGCAAAGACTTCTTTTTGCCTAAGTCACCGCAATTCACCTGGAAACAATTTCACAGTATTTTGTCCACCATCAAGGTCTCCTTCCAGGAAATCGGCGAACGATTCCTTTAAGTAGGGGCGAAGCCGTCCTTTGCAGTGGAGGCCCAGGAAACCGTTCACAGAGAACTTGGCGGTGCCCTTAGGCCTCTGTCCCTGCAGGTGGGACTACAGGGTCCAAGTCCTTCGTCCCGTTCTGTAGAGATCTGCGAACTACAATAACCACAAGGCTTTGCGCAGAGCCGTGGCGCAGTTGAGTCTCTGAAGGCCCGGAAGATGGGCATTTCCGTTCGCACCCTGTACGTCAGGGCGGAACTTCCGGCGTTTCCCTCATGGCGGCCATTTTGGTTTCATTATGGTGTGCTCACCACGTTGGAGACTACGGAACGTCCGGTGTTCACCAAGGTGACGGGACCAGGGAGATGGTAGAGGAGGCGTTGTCGCCAGTGCATAGACCAGTTTCAGAGACGCAGCGCCGCCCTAGTTGGCCCGCGCGACACCGCTCTGGAGACAGCAGAAACGAGCTCCAGCCCCATTTGCCCCTAGCTCCTGGCCGGGCCCAGCCCACAGCCTCCGATGGCGGCGACCGAGCTGAAGGAGCTGCCTCAGGTAAATGCTGTGTCCTTCCTAGCATGATTCGGGGATACTTCTGTCAGTGGGGACAACCAGAGGTCTTGGGTAGTGTCTTAGTCATTTAGCGCTGCTCTAACAGAAATACCACAAGTGGATGGTTTTAACAAAGAGAAATTTATTCTCTCACAGTCCAGTAGGCTACAAGTCCAAATTCAGGGCATCAGCTCCAGGAGAAGGCTTTCTCTCTCTGTTGGCTCTGAAGGAAGGTCCTTGTGATGCATCAGTCTTCCCTTGGTCTGGGAGCATCTCAGCGCAGGAACCTCAGGTCCAAAGGACGTGCTCTGCTCATGGCACTGCTTTCTTGGTTGTAGGAGGTTACCATGTGTCTCTGCTCACTTCTCTCTTTTATGTTTCAAAAGAGATTGGCTTAAGACACTATCCAATCTTGTAGACCTCATCAGTATAACTGCTGCTAATCCATCTTATTACATTATAGTGATAAGAATTTACAACACATAAGGAAATCACATCAGATTACAAAATGGTACACACTCGTACAATACTGGGAATCATGGCCCAGCCAAGTTCACAGATATTTTGGGGGGACACAATTCAGTCCATGACAGGTAGTACTGGATCATGTTTGTATTTGCCACTCTGTATGCCAAGTGCTTGGTACCATGTGGAGAGGCCAGGGAGTTGCTATAGTGTGGGGCAGGGAGGGAGATGAGGCTGTGGGAGTGCTGCTGTTGGAGAGAGTGTAGGACAAAGAGTGGTGTGCAACTGGAGACGAGTGTTAAAACCAAGGCCCTGGTATTGGGGACCTACGGGTAAAGGCAAGCCCCTATTTGGTTGTGTCAGGGAGATACATTCATGAGAACCTCAGGAGAATTGCTTGACAAGAGGGGGTGCAGCCCTGTATGCCAGGCCCAGAACTTAGTGTCTGTGTGCCCACCTTTGTTTCTATGGGTTGACACAGTGATCAGTGGGACCGTGAGGGAAGAGTGGGCATTGATTACACCAAGGCCTGGCATCTCCTCTAAGGTGGGGAGCTTAGGAAGACTATGCAGAAGATGGCAGTGTGAAGGGAAGAACTAGGGGTCCTGAGAAGAGAAGTTAATCATGGAGTGAACTGTTGCCCCATCATAGAGAGTGGTCTGACCTTTGAGGACGTGACTGTGTACTTGTTATGGTACTAAGTTCAGGCCAGGGGTTATGTGATATTGTTGCAATCAATAGGAGAATATGGGGAAAGTTGTCCTAGGTTTAGGTAACTGCATATGCAAGTGATTAGGGGTATTTTAACTTGACCCAAACGGGATCTGTGGATGCTGTAGATGGTCTGTCAGGTGCTGCATGAGAAAGCGAGACTAACATAGGAAGGCCAGTAAAAAACAAACAAAATCTCCTTGCTGTCAAGTCGATTCCAACTCATAGCGACCCATTGGACAGAGTAGAACTGCCCCATAGGGTTTCCAAGGAATGACTGGTGGATTTGAACTGCTGGCCTTTTGGTTAGCAGCCATAGCTCTTAACCACTGTGCCACCAGATCCTCAGGAAGGCTGGTAAACAAGTAGACTTTAGTACTCACAGGTCCCACAGAACAAACTACAGAACACTTCTATGCAGGTCCACACAGGGTGTTACACCCAGGGGCCAGGTAACAACAAGCTAGAACTGCAGGAAGGGGCAAGCAAAGTTTCTAGTGCATTAGCATGGGAATATGGAGAAATTTGTATCGATGGGAGTCATATGGGACATAGCCAGGAGGAGGAAGGAGTAACTACAGTAGGTAGTTGAGAGACTGGGTTACAGGATATCAACAAGGTCTCTATCATGGGAAACTGTGATGCATAGCTAGGCGGGTGTCTTAGTCACCTAGTGCTGCTCCAACAGAAATACCACAAATGGATGGCTTTAACAAAGAGAAATTTATTCTCTCACAGTCCAGGCTACAAGTCCAAATTCAGGGTATCAGGTCCAGGGGAAGGCTTTCTCTCTCTGTCAGCTCTGGAGAAAGGTCCTTGTGATGCATCAGTCTTTCCTTGGTCTGGGAACTTCTCTGCGCAGGAACCTCAGGTCCAAAGGATGCTCTCTGCTCCCAGCACTGCTTTCTTGGTGGTATGAGGTTCCCATGTGTCTCTGCTTGCTTCTCTTTTTTATATCTCAAAAGAGATTGCATTAAGACACTATCTAATCTTGTCAACCTCATCAGTATAACCTCATCACGGTGATAGAATTTACAACACATAAGGAGATCACATATAATCTCATCATAGTGATAGGATTTATAACACATAAAGAAATCACGTCAGATTACACAATCATACAATACTGGGAATCATGACCTAGCCGAGTTGCTACACACATTTTTTGGGGGACACAATTCAGTCCATGACAGAGGACAAGAAAGATTCTGTAACTATTGAGATACTATGTGACAAGATTGGAAAGTGAGTGAAAGAGCACTTTAGGAGAAATTAAGGGATGCCAAGGCAAAAAATTATGTAGGCCACACGTTGGCCCCCTGACAGAAGGTGAAGTTGAGCTGCAGTCTTCAGGAAACTGAATGTCTTCTTTTCTCATGGAAAGAGGCAGCAGGGGGCAGGAATCAGGCTTGGAATCGCTTCCTGAGAAGTTGAGCATCTATTGAGATGATTGGGAGCAGTGGGAGTTTTGGAGCAGAGGAGGGAGATGATCTGAACCAGGTGTCATCAACTCCCTGTGGGTGCGCATGAAGACCAAACTGTGAGTATGAGGGGCGGTAGGGAATCCAGGGAGGAAGCTACTGCAGTACTCCAGGTGCGTGTTGATAGTGACTGGACCAATGTGGTGGCCATGAATGTAGGAAGAATAGTTGGATTCCAGGTTTGATTTTTAAGTAGGGCTGCTTGGATTTTTTGATTTTAGAGAGAGAGTAAGGTAGGAGTCAGGGATGACTTCATGCTTTTTGGTTTTCGCAGCTGGAAGACTGGAAACCCCATCAATGGATAGGGGAGTCAGTAGTAGGAGTAACTACTAAAAAAGAAACTACTTAAAAAAAAAAAAAAAACGATTTGTTTTTGGCCATGTTAAGAGTATGAAGTGCATCAGAGAATAATGAGTTGAGGTATTAAGCGGGCAGCTGGACAACATATCTGGAACTTTGGAGAGAGTTTCAAGATGGAGACATCTCCAAAGTAGTGGCCAATGTGTGGACCAGGATAGAGCTGTAGGTCCTGCTTAGTAGGGGAAATCTGGTCATTATGGTAATGCTGATAGCATGCCAGGAAGGGGAGGGTGGAGGCTGAGGACCCAGCTGCTTGGATCTGTCTTTATGGTTGAGGTGTGTCACAGATACAGGTGAGGGAGAGAAGTGGCCATGGGAAGGGTGTAGGAGAGGATGATCTGGAAGGGGGCTAAGGCTTCCAAGGGTGAATGGACATGAGCTGGACGTGGGAGGCACAGGAGTGATAGAGACAAGATGACAGGCCAAGATTAGTCCTTATTTACCATGCTGTAAACACACCAGAATTTTGTTGTGACCCTTGGTGTGGTCTGAGGTGTTTAATTCGGGATGTGGATTAGCTCTGGGCCACAAGTGGTCATTTGTGAGTCACTGGGCCACTGAGCACTGACTTTGAATGATGGTTAGGTGAAGAGAAGAAGGCTGTAATTGGTGTGGGTTCACTATGTGCGGCATAAGTTGAAGAGGGCCAAGGGTATCTGAGATCCACATGTGTTTCTGGGTGGCTGAGGTTAAAACAAGAAACCGAGTCAGGCAGGGAGGACGTTATAGCTGATTTGGGGCTGCTTCTGTTAGTGGGGACCATCAGAGATCTGGGGCAGAACTGAATCCTGTTTGAATTTGCCGAGCAATCTCTGGTGCCATGTACTGAGTACTATCTGGGAAGGCTGGGGGTGCCTATGGAGTAGGACAGGGAAGGGGAGGAGGCTGTGGAAGTGCAGCTGTGGGAGAGAGCGTGGGACAAAGAGTGGTGTACACCATCAGTGTGAATTGATGGTTCCAGGGCCCTGGTATTGGGGACTTAAGGCTAAAGTTAGGCCCATATTTGGTTGTGTCAGAGAGAGATATGTTCTTGGGAACCCAGGAGAATTGCCTGACAAGAGGGGGTACAGCCCTGCATGCCCAACCCAGAGCTGAGATGGTGTCTATCTGCCAACATGCCTGTTCGTGTTGATGGCTGACACAGCCATTAGTGAGACCAAGGGGAGAGAGGATGTCAGTGGCACTAGGGCCTGATATCTCCTCTGAGCCGGGAAGGGTGGTGAGCAGAAGATGAATATGAGGATGGATGAAGTTGAGGCCCCAAGAAGAGAAGCTAATCATGGAATGAACTGTTGTCCCCATCATGGCAGGGCAGTGTGACCTTTGAGGAGGTGGCCATTGACTTCTCCCAGGAGGAGTGGGGGCTCCTTGATGAGGTGCAGAGACTGCTGTTCTGCGATGTGATGTTGGAGAACTTCGCAGTCATAGCCTCCGTGTGTAAGACCCTCACACCCACACAAATGTCCCAGTCTAGTCTCTGCCTTTTGTCTTTTCCCCACAGACAGCTCTGTGCTTACATAGGCAGACCACGGCACTGCTACCTTCCCTGCATTCCTGGCATGTGTGCTGTGGGGGTCAGTGCTGGGCTGTATGCACTGCTCTGAGCAATGTACTCCTCGAGCAGACCCACCACCTGCTGCCCAAACCCTGCAGGAAAGGGTCTGGGAGTGAGAGTCTTACAGTCAGCCTAATGGAGCTCACCCTTCTTGCCTTCTTGGAAGCATGACTGTGTCTGGGTTCATGGCACCTCTGTGCCCAGATTTTACTCCCTTCCTTTAGCTGACATTTCCTTATATTTGCCTGGAATTATAGGCATTGTCATAGTCACTACTTATGTGGACCATGGGCTGCAATAATCTCCTTCAAAGTTTTTTGTCTTTGTAATGCTAATTTTCTCTCCCGTGGTCTGTTGTCTGCTGAGTTATTTGTGGACCAGTGCTGGCCACTCACCTGTCCCATGTGTCCCTTGGGACTTGGCTCATGCAAGTCCCATATTGTTTCACAACTGGGACTAGGGGTGTACCCTGGTTGCTTTTGAGGGTACACATAAGAAGATGGTCTCAGAGGTGGCCTGGCCCTGCTGAATGGCAGTTGGGAAGGGTGTTTTAAGTATATTGCCTTAGATGAGGCATGGTAAGGTCAGGTGTAGATCAGGAGACAGAGACCATGGAGGTGTTAAAGGTTTTGTTATAGTCATGGTTCCCTGGAGAGAATGCCACATGCCATGCCAGGCAGCTCAGAACGTTGCCACTGAGGACAGGATAACAACAAGCAGGAATTGTTGGAGACGCTGCATATGTCAAGCAGAGCAAGGTTTCGTGGGTTTTCCGGGAATTGGGCATTTTGAATAATTCCACAGGCTCTGGGGCATGAGGACTGTCCCTACTTCTTTGAGACCTGGCCCATGGTGATTATGGTGGGTGCATAATGACCCAAGAGTGAGAGAACCTGATAAGGGGAGTGGTTGGAGAACATTTAACCTGCTGCTCAAGAAGGGGAACCGAACAGCCTCTGACAAGGGCCTCAAAACTGGGTCTAGAGAGCATTCGTGAGATACCGTATTACAGAGGACATGATATCAGAGCTGTGTTCAAATCATACCAGAAACCTGCTGTGTCTACTAGTGTTTTGGTGCAAATGCCAATGGCCACACCTCATTTCTACCTTCTCTTCCCCATTCTTGACAGTTTGCTGACTTGCTATTTCAACCGTGCATGTAGCTCCTGTTCACCTCTCTGGCCTCCACCTATCACCCATTCCTCTCCACTGCTGCTTCTGCAGTGTGCTCCAACATTTGCCAACATGTAAGGTGTTGTGAGGTATGTACATATCCTTAAACAGTCCTTAAACACCAGCTTCCCAGTTCCAATTGGATATTCCTGGGCCTGAGCACAACTTCTACACAGAAGGCACGTGTTACCAGTCGTAAGGTCCTCCTAAAGGTTGTTGGCAGAGGAGTGAGTTGGAGACCCTGCTTCTTATTCCTGTGTTACAGCCCATCTTAGTGTCCTTGTAATCTCAGAGTCCCAGTACTGCAAAGCAGCCCATTATTCAAGCTTCCTCCAGCTCCCTTGTTCTCAGAACAATTTCATGAACTCACTTCTTGTTGATTTTGATGCATATTTTTGATGGGGCATCTGCCTCCTAGCAAAGTCAACATGCATTTCATCAGCATTTCTGTGCTTTTAGGTTTTTGGCATGGAACAGAGGATGAGGAGGCGTCTTCTAAGCAGAGTGTTTCTGTAGAAGGATTATTACAGATCAGGACTTTCAAGGCAGGTTTATCCACCCAGAACACTTACCTCTAGGAGATGGGTGTCCCAGTCTTGAAAGCCATTCTGCACCTTACTGAGCAAGCAACACACCTTGGGCAGAATCCATGCTTGGGTGGGGCATGTATGAGATGCTTCTGGATGAGAGCAAACCTTCACCAGCAACTGAAGCTTCCCACTGGAGAGAAACCCTTCAAAAAAGACATGGACGGGGCCTCATTTATGAAGAGCTGCAGATTTCATGTGTCCAGGAAACCCTTCACCTGTGGAGAGGTTGGGAAAGTCTTCCCAGCAACCTGAAGCCTTCTCCATCACCATGCCACTCCTGAGTTTAAGGCCACCCAGTGGCCTCGAGTGTGGGGAGACCTTTCACAGTGGAAAAAGACTTTGCAAGTGGGGTAAATGCGGGAATTCTTTTAGTAACAAACATACACTTATTCACTACAAGAGTGTCTGCACTGTAGAGGGCCTTTATGAGGGTAGCAAATGTGGGAAAGACTTCAGCTGCAAGTACAGACTTGTTCAGCGCCAGGGAATTCACACTGGAGAAAGGCCATATAATTGTGGTGAATGTGGGAAATCCTTCAGATTCAAATGTTTACTCACCATCAGGGAGTTCACACTGGAGAAAGGTCTTATGAGTGTAGTGAATGTGGGAAATGCTTTACCCATAGATCTGAACTTAAGAGACACAAGAGAAGTCACACTGGAGAAAGGCCTTATGAGTGCAGTGAATGTGGGAAATTCTTTGACCGTAGTGCCTACCTTCATAATCATAAGAGAATTCACACTATAGCTACACCATATGAGTGCAATAGATGTGGAAAATTCTTTAACTATTGTTCCTACCTGAATAAACAGAAGAAGGTTTATGCAGGAACAGAATTATATGAGTGTTGTGAGTGTTCAAAATTCTATAGCCAAGGGTTCAGCCTCATTCTATATCAGAGAATTCACATATTTGCATATGAGTGTGGTGAATGTGGAAAATCTTTTAACTGCAAATCTTTACTCATTTTCCACCAGAGAGTTCACACCGGAGAAAGGCCTTGGTGCATGGCATGTGAGAAATCATTTCACCATCAGTCAGCCTTCATTCAACATTGGATAATTCACACTGGTGAAAGGCCTTATGAGTGCATTCAGTGTGAAAAATTTTTTAGCTGTAGCTCTTAATAAACACAAGAAAATTCATACTTGAGAAAGGCCTTATGCAGGTAGCAATTGGAGGAAATCCTTTTTCTACAAGCATGGCCTCATTCGACACCAGAGTTCACATAGGAACAAAGTCGTATGAGTGGACAATGAGAAATCTGCTAGGTAAAGTACGACCTCATTCAACACCAGAGAATTCACACAGGAGCCAGGCTGATGAGTGTGACAAATGTGAAAAATCCTATAGCTGTAAATCTGAGTTCATTTACCACTGGAGAGTTCACACTGAGAAAGTTCTTAGATGTGCAAGGAATGTACGGTTTCTTTGTTCAGTATATCAACACTTGATGGAGAGTCTTTGTGAGGGACTTATCTACCTGAATTGACTCTCCTACATTCAAATGTACAGAAAAGGGAGATTCTCCATTGGTTGTAAGTATGAGGGAAGCCTTCAGAAGTTGCATTGCACTTTCTAACCTGCCAAGGTGTCCAGAGATAGACTTCTGTGTCTTCATATTCATTGGAGGAAATTATGAGTATTGGAGGAAAAGGGGACCATCATTCCCCTCTCTCTGACTATTGAGGGCCTGGATCTGACCCAGTTTTGACCTAGAAGACCCAATCTGAGTTGTGCTAGTGTTTTTTCAAGGGCGATTGCATTTTTCAGGTGTATTTTTGATCTCCCATGATGCTTGAATATGTCCAGCTTCCAAGTCACTGGCCTGGAAACCATCTGCCGCACACTGCTCTGGTGTGTGCAGTCATAAATGTCTTTTCATTTAAGCACCTTAAATCTTGGGGGCTCCACTCACGATGCTGGGTGATTTAAGAGCAGTATTAGGATCTGCCTACATAAAAGGATGTGGTGACATGAATTGCTTGATGTTGCCTTTTGCCTTGGTTCTTTGGAAAAACAGCATGGGGTATTTTTCCCTTTAAGCCCTGAAGAATTTTACCTTTGCCCTAGAACTTTGGAAAAATTACTTGGGCCTCCCAGGTTGCTTTCTACCCTAGAGAGAGATTTTTGCCGAGGGAGGATGTAGTTCTCTACCACTGGAAACTTAAGTTTTGTACAAGACTTGATTGACACCTTATGGGCTTCTGACTCCACCAAAATGATTGGTCCACGATCTTGCAAGGAATTGGTCGATTTATATTCAAATAATGGCTTGAAAATCTACCCAGTAGGATTGAGTGACTTGCAGTCCATCGAGAAGATTGGTCAGTTTGTGTTAGGAGTGTCGAGCCTTGAAATTGACAAGAAGTTTACTTATATAAACAGCCACCTCCACAGAGATTTTTAGAGGAAATAAGGGAACCTGAAGACCAATAAGAGCATGGAGCAGGACAATATGGACCTGGGGTTGCCGTGAGGGGAACCTTCTAAGAAAAGCAGTAATAGGGGTTCAGGGCTGTAACACTGAATATGGCGAGGAGCCTGGAGAGGGGCCCATGGGCAGAATCTGCAGTGACGAGAAAGCTGCTGCTAGGAAAGCAGTTAAAGAGCTGAGCAGTCTGCCACACTGGCTCTGAGCTGGGCCAGTTACAAATGGCAGAAAGGTCTGAAGGCAGAGAGGCCTGAAGCTAGACAAGGGGCATGCATGGTCAAGAGGATCCTGCTTGCACAGCTGAGGGGTCTTCTAGCATGACAGAGAGCAGCTGAGAGAGCTGTCCTGGTGGTTGGAAGCTATCCTGCACTGAAGTAGGGAGGGATGTGCTCTCCATTTTGAAGGAGTCTTCCAAATCTCGTCTGTGTGCTTCCTGATCCTTATCCCAAGTTGTTCCTGTTACTTTCAAGTTGATTCTGATCCTTAGTTGTAGCCTGTTATGAGCCTAATAAACCACACGACTGTAAGTGTGGTCTTTGAGCTCTGTGTAGCCGTTGCAACGAATTACCGAACTCAGCAGAGAAGTAGAGAGTGCCGTGGTGGGAGGCAGGGGTGGCTGTTGTCAGAAATGGTGAAGAAATTGGAGAGAGGAAGTATGTCTGCTCTCTACCTCATGGGAACCAGCTTTGTTCTGGTCCTGATTCTTAACCCTCAGGAATTTAGACAATTCCTTATGTGGCAAAACAAGGGGTGAACAACTCTTATGGGACCCTGAACTTTGTGTGCCTCAGAGGGGACAATGTTATGGCAGAAAACAGCTCTCTCTTCAGTTGGGGCCTAAATTGCATTGCTGCCAAGGATTCCTGGGGAAGAATGTAGGCTTTTTGGTCCTAAATTGTAACTAGATGAAAGTTTTGTGTGTGTGTGCACGTGTGTGTACATTTGCTCAAAGGTCACCCTAAAGAGGGCAAGGTTGTGAGTCTCCAGGGCTTTTGAGAATAACACGAAGTTTTCCCATTGTCCACCAGGGAGATTACATATTGTCCAGCACTGTGGAGGGCTCAGGGAGACCCATAATAAGTATAGAAACACTGGATTAAAAAGGAGTGGAGGAGACTGCAGCAAATTAGAATGCATGTGCCTCTTTTAAAAGTGCTTCCACACACATTCCTGTTGCTATCAGTGTATTGGATTCAGCATGCAGAGAAACTCAGGACCTCTAGACCTGGGTCCCTGCTGAGATGAAGAATTAACTTTACCCAAAGAATTTTACTTATTTTCCCTGGGTCCTGGGGGGTAACCTCTGAATCCTTGGTATCTCCTGAGTGATTGGCGTGTCTTTGTTATTTATAAGGGTCACTGGACCACATTTGTAGTTTATGCTAAGGAGGTGAGTCATATTGGGGCTGGCCACGCCAGGAAGCCCACCACCTAATATCAGCCCAGCTGCCAGCGCAGGTAGGGGAGCTGGAGGTTGAGTCCAGTCACATGGCCAGTTATTCAACCAATCATGCCTACAAATTGAAACTCCAAAAAAACTCTATAGACACTGAGCTTCCCTGACTGACAGTACATTGGTGTGCCAAAAGGGTGACCTGTCCTGACTCACAGGGAGAGGTTACGGAAGCTCATGTTTGGATTTTCCCAGACCTTTGCTCTACGTACTTTTTTTGTATACTTTATTGATGTAATAAAACTGTAACCATTAAGTATAGCGTTTTTCTGATTTCTGTGAGTCATTTGCAGATTATCAAACCTGAGGGTAGCGGGAACCCCTGTATTTGTAGCCAGTTGTTAAGAAGTGCAGGTGGTCTAGAACCCTCAAATTTGTAGCTAGTGTCTGAAATAAGGGCATTTTTATGCAAGACTGTGTAATCCGTGAAATCTGACCCATCTCCTTGTACTTAGTGTCAGAAGAATTGCATGTGTGCAGCTGTGGTCAGAGCAAATAGTTTTTGTGGATTCCTGTAGCCTATGACTGTTTACCTCAAGGCCATTGATGAACAGGCAGGAAAGCAAGGATGAAGCTAAAGGAAATCCCAGAGTCCAGGGGTGTGGCTTTTATGATCCAACCAGCATTCCTCTTGACTCAGGTGGCAGTGGCCTTCATTGCTCGCCAATATTTGTTGCCTCTCCAGGCCATGAGGAGAGTGATGGAGGTGGTAGTGTTGCCCAACCTGATTTTCCAAAAAGAATGGAAGGTCTGGAATTTTATTTTGAATCATTTTTTTAAAGCTTTACTGAGGTATAATTGACATGAAGTTGTTAGGTGCTGTCATGTCAGTTCTAACTCATAGCGACCCTATGTACAACAGAACGAAACAACTGCCTGGTCCCGCACCATCCTCACAGTGGTTGCTATGTTTGAGCCCATTGTTGCAGCCGCTGTGTCACTCCATTTCATATCAAGCATCATGTCCTTATGTCCAAAGTAAGTGAGATGAAGTCTTGCCATCCTCGCTTCTAAGTAGCATTCTGGCTGTACTTCCAAGACAGATTTGTTTGTTCTTCTGATAGTCCATGGTATATTCAATATTCTTCACCAACATCATAATTCAAAGGCGTCAATTCTTTTTTGGTCTTCCTTATTCATTGTCCAACTTTTGCACGCATATGAGGTGATTGAAAATAGTATGGCTTGGGTCAGGTGCACCTTAGACCTCAAAGTGATATCTTCACTTTTTAACACCTTAAAGAGGTCTTTTGCAGTAGATTTGCCCATGCTGTACATCATTTGATTTCTTGACTGCTGCTTCCATGGGCATTGATTGTATATCCAAGTAAAATGAAATCCTTGACAACTTCAATCTTTTCTCTGTTTATCATGATGTTGCTTATTGGTCCAGTTGTAAGGATTTTTGTTTTCTTTATGTTGAGGTGTAATCTATTCTGAAGACTGTAGTCTTTGATCTTCATAAATATGTGCTTCAAGTCCTCTTCACTTTCAGCAGGCAAAATTGTGTCATCTGCATATCACAAGTTGTCAGTGAGTCTTATGATCCTGATGCTGCCTTTTTCAGATAGTCCAGTTTCTCAGAATATTTGCTCAGCATACAGATTGAATAAGTGTGGTGAAAGGGCACACCCTTCCTGATTTTAAACCACACAGTATCCCCTTGTTCTGCCTCTTCGTCTATGTACAGGTTCCACATGAGCACAATTAAGTGTTCTGGAATTCCCATCTTCGCAATGTTACCCATAATTGGTTAGGATCTGTACAGTTGAATGGTTTTGTACAGTCCATAAAACACAGGGAAACATCTTTCTGGTATACTCTGCTTTCAGCTGCATATTTTAACTGTACAATTTGAAGAGTTTAACACATGTATAAATCCATGTGCCTATCATCATGATCATGAACCTATCTATACCCACATATTTACCTCCTTCCATTTTAAAATCTCATCCTGCCCTCCCCAGCCCTCTAGGCAAGCATTGATTTACTTTCTTTACAATAGATTAGTTAGCATTTTCTACAATTTTATGTTATTGAAATCAAAGTGTTTCTTTTTTTCTGCCAGTTTCCATTATACATGTTATTTTGAGATTTACCAATGATGCTTAAACGAGTAATTCATTCTTTTTATTGCTGAATATTATTCTCTGTGGATATTTCACTATTTGTTTGTCTGTTCATCTGTAGACAGATTATTTCCCTTTTTTGGATTTTGTGAATAAAGCTACTACGAATATGTGGATACAATTCTTAATATAAATATGTTTCATTTCTCTTGTGTTGATAACTGATTGCAAGCCTTGAGTCACAGGGTAAGGGGGTGTTTATCTTTCTAAGAAACAGCAAGTGATTTTACTTATACTTCCAGACATCTTGTTATTTAATGTAATACCTCTTCAGAATTCGTTTAAAAAATGTAAGGGCTCTATCATAACCCCAATAACTATCATGCAAAATTAAATTATTTTCAAATATGATCATTATGTTATCAGTGCTGAATGTTGTCTCAAAAAACATTTTTGTTCTTTAAGGCAGATTGTTTGCAGTCAGGATCCAAAATATATGCTTATGGCTTTTTGTAGATGTGTCCTGTAAGTCTGTTGTCCTACAGGTACCATATACCTCTTTTTGAATTCTTATTTACTTGTTGAAGTTGCTAAACCTTTTGTCAGTTAGAATTTGCCATATCCTAGATTAGGCTTATTGAATCTCTCTGATTTTTTTTTTTAACATGCTAGTCCTCCTGTACACTTTATATTCGTGAGATGGGTGGTTGAGGTCCTAGTGGACAGGTTTATGATGGTGACACATCTGGAACCACATGCTGTATGACTTGCCAGTACTCCATGGCACAGCCAGGAAACAAACATAAGTACTGTGACAGGTGTGTGGTGGTGACACTGTAGCACAGTCTTGCGTTGTGCATGCACATGCATGGGGGACCCTGTGTAACAGGTGACACAAACAGCATATGCAAACATACCAGAAACCTGTGTACCAACACACCACAGTAAATGTGGAGACACAAATGTGAATACTTCCTCGAGACTTGTGAGGCAGGCATGCAATAGGGATGCTCCATGGCCTGGTGTGTAGGCCACACACACAATGACACAGTTCCTGTAGATCAAGTGTAATGAAGCAGACAGCTTGGCTTTCAAAGAACAACCCTATCCCCCATCCTGTCAGGATTAATAGTCTGTCAGTCATTGGTTTGCATGTTACCTAGAGGGATGGGGAGGAGAAGTCAGGCTAAAGTCACCTGCTAGAGACATGGGGTGGAAAAGTCATGGGAACACGGACATGCCAGAGTCCAAGTGGAGAATCTCAGTGCTTCAGCATCTTTCCCAGTGTTCACAATAGTGATTGGAATAACTGGAAAGCCTTGGGGACTGGGACATGCCAGAGTCCCTCAGCATCTTTCTCAGTGTCTACACTAGTGACAGTGATAACTGGCTGACAGTTGAGGATGAGGGTATGGAATGAAGGGGGCACCCTGAGGGTATTTAGGAGGAAGACCCATAGGACATTCAGGCTGAATTCCTGCATGTGGTGGTGAGGGCCAGTGATGGGTTTGGGGTGACTCCGATGACCGTCAGGGTGCCTGGTGGTGGTAACGTCCATGCTAAGAGCGTTCATGTCGATGGGAAGCGAGTTTGTGGGGAGTGGTGTGTGGGGAGGGGCTTGATATGGTGGGTACTGGTTAGCAGATGGTCCAGGGCTCAGCCTTCAGACAAGAAAGGAGTTTAGGAGTCTAGACCTGAGTCCCCAACAATTCCCTGTTGGGATGGCTGGAAGGGAACAACATGAGCTGACCCAGAGCAGAGTAAAACGTTCCCAGATCAACTGCTTGGGGGCTGTGCACCTTTGTGGAAGTCACTCAGCCACTCTGAGCCACAGATCCCTTAAGAAATAACCCAAAAAACCAAACCCGTTGCTGTCGAGTCGATTCTGACTCATAGTGACCCTATAGGACAGAGTAGAACTGCCCCGTAGGGTTTCCAAGGAGTGGCTGGTAGATTTGAACTGCTGACCCTTTTTAATTAGCAGCCAAGCTCTTAACCGCTGTGCCTCTGCCCTAGTTGTTTTGGGAATATTACATGAGGCAACCCTTGGGAGAGTCTGCCAATATTGGCTCCATATAGAAAGATGAGTCGGGGCCCTCAGCATTCAGGAGGTCTGCACAGCACCCTAGAGGGCCTGAGAAGGACCCTCAGGGCAGTCAGAGGAAAACAAAAGAGAGGGCACCCTGTGGGCCAGGAGACTGCAGGGAGGGAAAGGAGGCATTGGCCCTGTGACCTGAGACTGAATGCTGGACCCCATCCCACCCCTTGATGGGGGCTCACAGACCATCCATGCCACTTCCCTGGACCTATCTCTGGGTGTAAAATTGCGCTGCTGCCTAAGCTGAGCTCCCGGGGTGCTAAGAATGTAACATTCCTGCATGGTGCTATTTTGGGTGGAGGTGTTGGGAGGGTCTCACTCATGCTCCATGGCAAACGTGGGGCTGGCACATCCCAGGCAGAGGTAGTGGGATCGCGGGGAATGGGATGTCCATAGTGTGGTCCTTGGGGTGCAGGCCTCCTGCCTCAATCCCCAGGCTGCCCAGCATGGGGGTGCAGGGTAACAGGCCTGAGGACACAGTGCTGCTGCAGGGCCCAGGTGAGCACAGGCCCCAGTCCTGATACTGACCCAGCACCTACACCAGAGCCTTCCCTGGGTCTGTGGGGGCTACAGCCATGGCCCATGAGTGATCCCGCTGGCTCAGAAGCCATCATCCCCATGCCTTTCCTGGCATCGCCAAACCTGGGCTTCTGCCCCCTTAGACTCCTGACCTACCATAAAAACCAAACTATTGTCATCGAGTTGATTCTGACTCATAGCGATCCTATAGGACAAGGTAGAACTTCCACCATAGGGTTTCCAAGGTGGTAAATCTTTACGGAAGCAGAATGCCACATCTTTCTCCCACAGAGCAGCTGGTGGGTTAGCACCACTGACCTTTCGGTTAGCTTCTGAGAGCTTAACCACTACACCACCAGGGCTATTCTCAGACTCCTGACAATCCCCTTGATTTAACCAGTGTTTGTGTACTCTGGGCCTCATGGAGTCCGTTGGTGGCTAAAACAGTTAAATGCTTGGCTGCTAACCTAAAGGTCAGTGGCTAGAATCTACCCAAAGTTGTCTCAAACGAATGCCCTGGCGATCTAAATAATCAGCTATTGAAAACACTATGGGGCACAGCTGTACTCTGTGATATGTAAGTGGATGCCGTGAGTTGGAGTTGAATCCAGTTATCTGGTTCCGGACCTCATAATCAGTTGGGAAGGTTTAAAAACCACCAATGCCCACATTTCACCGCAGAGATTTTGTTTCATTTGACTTGGTTTCTGGAGCAGGCAACACCAGGTGGTTCTGAACCACAGGGTGGTTGAGACCTACTGACTTAATTAAAAACACTGCATGGAAGGATAGGTGTCACCTTCCTAGGGTCCCATCAGTACTCCCTTCAGCAGCTTTTGTTGAACAAGATAAATATGGATGTAACCTACTTGACGAACCTAGGCAACATATTGTTAAACATGTATTTTGAACCTAACAGACGTATAAAATTCAAGCATAGAATATATATGTAAAGAATGTATTTTGTAGCAGTAATTTCTGAGTGGGAAAGACTGGTTAGTGGAAAATAATGGACTTCAATGGCCTTGATAAAATACACTACTTATGTTTCTTTCCAGGATTTACTAGCTCTGAATGAACTTATTGTCCTCATGATCAAATGCCATCCAGGGCCTTGGCAATGGGAATCATCTTTGTCTCTCAGTCTGGAGCTGGAATCCTGGGGAACACCTTCCTCTTTTGTTA